ATCAATATTTTTCAACACCAGTTAATGATACGAATATACTTGAAAATTTAAAACAATCATCTGATTTACCGCAAAATGTTCATATAGAATTAGATGCTGTACGTTTTACACCGGAAACAAGTACATTTTTTAATGAACTTGATGCATTTCCAAACCGATCAACAAAAGTTCTTGATTTATGGTACAAGAAAAAATATGCATCATATCCGAAAAATGAAGAAGATCCATTTAAAGATAATATTTACTAATAGTTATGTTTGTTTTTGTAGTTAAAATTATTTGTTTTTTACATCATTAATAAAAAGGCATTAATGTGCAGTTTTGTTATTTAACAATATATTGATTAAACGAGTAACAAAACAATCTCACGAGGGAACCTCTCGAGATGATAAAAAGCTTTTGAAGTCGCACTTGTTTTATCTAGTAGACCCTAGTGAGTAGTAAAATACCGTAAGTTGATTCGTTTCCTTATTGCTTTAGGAGTGAGTTATGGCCGATTCACTATATTTTTGACGTATGGCACTATATGAGTAACAGTAATACATGAGCGACTTTGGATCTGAAATTTTTTTTATAAGCAGGTCTTATGAATACTAAAATACTCTGAAAGTATCAGGCAAAACGAGTGGACCCTACTTGAGATTGTGAATTGTCAAAAAACAACTGTTTTCTAAGATAAATCTTTAGTGTGTGAAACAAATAGTCAATTTTTTGGGAATTCGTTATCTCAAGAAGGGTTTATTCGTTTTACCTGATACTTCCAGGGTATTTTAGTATTCATAAGACCTCTTTATGGACAAAATTTCAGGTTCAAAGTCACTCATTTACTACTGTTACTCATACAGTGTCATACGCCAAAAAAATAGCGAATTGGTTATAACACACCCGCAAAGCAATAAGGGGACGAACCAACATAGGATATTTCACTACTCACTAGGGTCTACTAGATAAAACAAGTCCGACTTCAAAAGCTGTTAATCACTTCGAGAGGTTCTCTCGTCAGTGCAAAAAATAGTATTCTTTCTCGAAAAATCTGTCCTCAGAATTTATTTATTTAATTTAGCATAAATTGAACAAATACTCTTATTAAATTGATGATTATCCATAACGTATAAAATATTTTCGA